TAAATCATAGGGTTTCACAAAGCTGGGCACCAGATGAAAGAAACTGTGGAGTGTGTTGGTGTGTGTAAGCGTTCAGTGAGGAACTGGATGCAGTGTTTCAAGGCTGGTGGTGGTGTCGAATTACCATCTCCTAAACCTTGACCTGGCCCCTCGAAGAAGACAACTGTTCATACCTTAACTGTGTTAAAGAAGCAATTAGAGAGTACACCTATGATAACTGCTAGAGAACTGAAAGAAAAGAACCCACATCTTCTCTCAGAGGTGTCTGTAAGAACTGGTAGCAGACATGTGTCAGAACTGGGCTACAGTAGTCACCACCAGGTTAAGAAAAAAATCCTCTCCAAGCCACAGAAGAAATGTAGACTGGATTATGCAAAGAAATATCTTCACTGGAATCCTCAACAGTAGTCTGAAGTACTTTGGAGTGATGAAGCAACCTTCACTGTCACCTATAACAGTGGGAGACATATGTACTGACCCAGAGGTAGTGACCCGCTAGAACAACACTACACCTGTGGGACCACCAAACACCCAGACTCGCTCATGGTTTGGGGGTGTTTCAGTGCTCAGAGTGTTGGTGAACTCACTGTGCTTCCCAAAAACCAGTATATGAACCAGTATAATTACCTGGAGTTATTGTGTGACAATTTACCTGAGGCATTTGACAAGTGTGGAGCTACAGTTTTTATGCAGGATGGTGCACCGTGTCATACCGCCAAATCTGTAGTTTGGTGGCTTAAGGACTGTAAAGTGAGGTTCTTTAATGACTGGCCAGGCAATTCCCCAGACCTAAACCTTATTGAGAACCTTTGGTCAATAGTGAAATGAAGTTTACTGGGCAAAGATATCAGTTCCATCCCGCAGCTGGAAGCTGCTTTACATGAAGCATGGAATAATATACCTCCCCAAACTCTCAAGAATTTGTGTGAGAGTCTTCCTACACAGCTGAGGGACGTGATTAAGCGTAAAGGATGCAGTACCAAGTATTAAAGCCTTGGTAAGTGTGCAAATATATTATCATCTTCCATGGTATGTGTTTGTGTTTTGGTATGTGTGTGGGGGAGGGGTGGCATAATGCTGTGACTAGCACTGTAGAGTCACTGGACACATTCTTAGAACTGCTACAGTTTATAGAACACTTTGAAACATGGTGTTATACACAGTGCTGTTTTACACTTCTCACACATAAAACGAGTATCCCTGTGTTTTTGTGTGTAGGTTGTTGTGGTTGTGAAGGTTGTTGTGGTGTGTGGGTGGTTGAAGGTGGCCTTTGTTGTGGATATGCTGAGTCAGTGGCGTGGCTAGTGTCACATGACGCATTACACAACCACCACCACCCATTACCCATATCGTCTTCCCCACCAACTGTGCTGTTTTCCCCACTACCCACATGGGAATAAGTGACTCTGTTTGACTTTCTTGGGTTATCCTAGGTTGATGGTCATCTGGGTTTCAGCACTATTTCTTGTATCCTGGGCATTGCTTTCGGTCACAAACTCCTTAAAACTAACTATGAAATTCATCTTCATTGACACTTCCATCTGTGTTAGAACTATCACTTGGGAAAGGAAGAGTTCCAATTCGCTGGGAAGTGAGGTATTCCTTACCGCTAAGCTTCGTGACCAAGGTGTACTGAATTAGCACTCCCACAATGCACTGAGACCTCCCCAATTTTTTTTATACTGCACACACCTAGCACACAGATTCATTTTCTCACATGTAGGCCTACCAGCTTTCTCCCACCAGATCTGAAGGAGCTAGAATTTTGGCGTAGTATTATGGGACTGATGCTGGCTTGCAAGCCATAATATTACTGGACCAAGAGTGAAAGGGTTAACATGTAGGAATGCACATGCATAATAAAAAAGCATTTAACCCTTTGACTGTTTACGCCGTATAAATACGTCTTATGTGCCACTGTTTCTGACGTATTTATACGCATAAATTCTAACGGCTTCAAATCAAGCAGGAGAAAGTTGGTAGGCCTACATGTGAGAGAATGGGTCTCCATGGTCAGTGTGCACCATATAAAAAAAATCGGGGAGCAAGTGGTGCATTGTGGGAATGACATTTCAGTCATCCTTTTTCAGCATGCTTAGCAGTAAGAAATATGTGACTCCCCAGCAAATCTGGGACTCTTCTCTTCCCAAGTGATGCTCTAACACAGATGGAAGTGTCAGTGAAGATCAATTTCATGATTTCGAGGAGTTTGAGACCAAAAGCAATGGAGGAGGAGGAAGAGGAGGAAGAAGAGGAGGAGGAAGAAGAGGAGGAGGAGGAGGAGGAGGAGGAGGAGGAGGAGGAGGAGGAGGAGGAGGAGGAGGAGGAGGAGGAGGAAGAGGAGGAGGAGGAAGAGGAAGAGGAGGAAGAGGAAGAGGAGGAAGAGGAGGAAGAGGAGGAAGAGGAAGAGGAGGAGGGAGGAGGAGGAGGAGGAGGAGGAGGGAGAGGAGGAAGAGGAGAGGAAGGAGGAGGAAGGAGGAGGAGGAGGAGGAGGAGAGGAGGAGGAGGGAAGAGGAAGGAGAGAAGAGGAGGAGAGGAGGAAGAGAGGAAGAAGAGGAAGAAGAGGAAAGAGAAGAGGAAGAAGAAGAGAAGAAGAGGAAGAAGAAGAAAAGAAGAGGAAGAAGAAGAGGAAGAGAGAGAGAGAGAAGAAGAGGAAGAAGAAGAGGAAGAAGAGAGGAAGAAGAGAGAAGAAGAAGAATAAGAGGAAGAAGAAAAGGAAGAAGAAGATAAGAGAGAAGAAGAAGAAGAAGAAGAAGAAGAAGAAGAAGAAGAGAAAGAAGAAGATGATGATGATGATGATGATGATGATGATGATGATGATGATGATGATGATGATGATGATGATGATGATGATGATGATGATGATGATGATGATGATGATGATGATGATGATGATGATGATGATGATGTGATGATGATGATGATGATGATGATGATGATGATGATGATGATGATGATGATGATGATGATGATGATGATGATGATGATGATGATGATGATGATGATGATGATGATGATGATGATGATGATGATGATGATGATGATGATGATGATGATGATGATGATGAGGAGGAGGAGGATGATGATGATGAGGAGGAGGAGGATGATGATGATGATGATGATGATGATGATGATGTAATAATAATATTTGTTCCCTTGAAACAGGAAAAAAAGTTCACCCCATGACAGTGAGAAGATAAGGGGAGATAACATCTGATAAGAGCTGACGTTTGATGAGTGTAAACGAGGGTGAGGGAGGGTGCAGCTGATAAGAAAAGATTAGATGACCATCGCCCTTGCTTTGTTTTTGCTGGTACACAAATATTTCTGTCTGTCTATTTGTCTGTCTGCCAAGCTCCCTGTCTATCCGTCTAACTCTCTGTCTCAGAGAGAGCCACAAGATTGTGTCATCATCACGTTTACTCACATCTTCAAGCAGAGTATAGCACTTTGTTTGGATTTTTGGGTTATCCTACGTAATTTACACTATGTATGCTTGTATTTATGTGTACCTGTGAGACAGAGATAGACAGAGAGAGAGAAAGAGAGACAGATTGAAAGAGATAGAATGAGGGAGAAAGATAATTAGATAGAATGGAGGGGGAAGCAGCATCCGACCCCATTGTTTTGACAGGCGGTAGGGGGAGTGACTAATGAGACAATATGTCACTTTGACAGCTGCCGACTCCTGACTCAAAACAATTATAAGCCACACACTCGCACACAAGACAAGCTTGCTGAAGGGTGATAATAGGAGTTTTATGAAAGTATCTAGTGACTATATATGTGTATATATATTATAGAAACCAGAAGCAAGAAGGGAAGGCAGGAATGAAGGAAGGACTAGATGAAAGGAAGGAAAAAAGTAATGAAGGACAGATGAAGGAATGTAGGAAGAGAGGTGGAATGCCCTCCAGGTAGCCTCCAGGTAGGAAAGGAATGAAGGAAATTAGGAAGGAATGATGACACACGACCATTTACCTAGGATAACTACATAACACAACTGCCTGCTAATACTTTGAAGAAAGCTGCTCAGACGAGGTGTTTTGTCTTTGCACATAAAAAAAAAGTTCACAAAAATGCACACATACTGGTTTTGTGTGTGAGGAGTGTAAAACACCATTGTGTATGAAAACATGTTTCAAAGAGTTCCACAAGCTGCAAAACTTCTAGGAATATGTTCGGTGACTGTACATTGATATATATATTATAGAACAATAGTAATAAAAAAATTTTTGTATTGTTTGTTTTTGTAAACAAGTTTTGTAAACAATATATTGATAATTATGTTTGTGTGTTTATTGTGTTGTATACAACGAGTGTATATATGTACATTGCACCTTACTTTGGTCTCATAGGCCACATAAGTTGTGAGAAAAAATAAAATAGTGAAAAAAACAACAAACCTTCAAATACAAGTAAACCAAAGTTTACCGGGTGAGCAGCAAAATTTTTTGGGGGGGCTAAAACACTCAGAAAAATAATCTTAACATTTTCATAGGAAAAATAATTTTTTTTTTCGAGTATTTTGCGACAGAATGACAGTTTCAGAAAGGAGCCTGCGACAGTCAAAGGGTTAAATACTGTACTATTAACTACAGTGGATACTCTCTTTACAGTACATTATTTAGGTTAGTAATATACAAGTGGTCTTCTGTTTCACAGTTCTACTAAATGAGTACAATTAGTTTTCATATTTACTGTGCTTAGCAGAAGCACTGCACACAAATTATGATAATATAATAATATCCAGTATTCTTTTTTTTTATTGGCACAAAGAAAATACTTTGACCATTTCTCAATAATCTGTTCTGTCATCTATGAAGTCTTGTATTTTCTGTAGTTGTCAAGTAGAAGTTTCATTAACAACTTAAATTTATGCATTCTTGAGGCACTTAAGTGCAGTCAACTTATTCTTAAGGCCCTTTAATAATTTAAGTCTTTAATGTAAACTTTGTTATGCTAATAGTTATTTAATTCAATACACAAATATAACTAACCTAGTACCACTAGAGGTTGTGGAAGATGTAGAGGCTTGACCTGTCATACCAGGGTTTTTCGGTGAAGGTGAACTGGAGCTATGGTTACGTGACAGTTCTTCCTGTCGCTTACCAGGGCGGCGTCGCACACTGAATGGGCTTTCATCAGTAGTAAAATTTGGCATGTAGTCTCTATAAAAGACAATGTACTCTCATAAATCATGAACAAAATGAATTCATAGAATCAAGGGAATAAAAGAGTAAATGCTAGAAATTTATTACTCTCGACATCACTGCAGGGCTAGTTGAAACTGGGACATGGGTATCAGTTTAGGGGTTGTGCCCAAGCCAAAAGACAATGTTCATCATCAAAAGAAAATCCACATTTTCTTGACCAATTTCTACCACAGCATACTACACATGTACCCAAAGACCATACAGTATACGGTACAAAACTTAATTAATTTGATACACAATGAAAAAATAACTGAAAATATAACAAAACCAGGTAAACCTAGCTCATAAGAATTACTCTAATTCATTATATATTGGCCTAATCATGTATTAATATTAATTTGTATAAGAAGAGCAACCCAGAAAAGCAGCTTGAGATGTAGGATATCAGCTGAGGCCATTTCCAGAAAAAATTCTCACTGGTTTGTCTTTTTAATTTATTTCAGAGGTAGTATGTAATTATTATTGCTCAAACCCAGTTAATATTTTTTAACACACTGGCCATTTCCCACTGAGACAGTGTGACCCAAAAAGAAAGAAACCCCCCCCCCCAAAAAGAAAAAAAACTTTCATCGTTCAACACTTTCACCATCACTCACATAATAGTGTCTTTGTAGAGGTGCTCAAATACGACAGTTTAGAAGTCCCTCCAAGCAGCCAATATCCCAAACCCCTCCTTTAACCCTTTCAGGGTCTGTCCCATAGATCTACGGCTTTGAAGCCAGGGTCCAAGCCGTAGAACTATGCCATGAGCTCAGCTCGCTCAGATAACCTGTGGGCGGTAAATTTGGGCCCACATATGAGAGAACACATCTATGTGGCAAGAGTGCACCATATAAAACGAATCCTGCAGCACGCAGTGCATAATGAGAGAAAAAACTGCGACTGTAATTTTGAATTAAAACAGCAACTTAGTGGTGTTTTTCAAATGTTTTTTACACTCATATTTGCTATTTCTTGGTCTCATTTGATAGAACTGAAAATATGTTACAGAGACAGAGATGATTTTGATTGGTTTTAGTACTGAAAATGGCTTGAAACTAAGCTCAAAGTAGCGGAAATGTTAAATTTTTGCCGATGTTCAAAAGTAAACAGTTCAAAAGTAAACAAGTGATGTCACGAGACTAATACGTGTTAGCTGGAGGATCTAATATGCATTCACGAATGTGCTGATATAATTTATACAATTATTATAACACTGCATAACAGTAAATCCTCTATTTTATGGTGTGAATAAAAATTCATTATCTGAATAAAAAATCAAAATGGAATTCATTTGTAAGGCCTGAAAACATAACTAATGAACAGAGAAAATGTTATTTTCGTGCCAGGAATGCCTGCATTGTTCATTCTGGACCCTATTTTGAAACTGGAATATTTTGAACTTTGTGTTAAATTGGATAAATTACCAATTTCCTATCACTTTATTGGGTAGCTGAAACAGTTAACTGGGCGATTTCTTGTGCTCAATCGATAAAATAGATGTAATACTGTACTAGCGAAATAGCTAGGAATTTGGTTGACCGGAATAATGTAATTGGCCTACAATGGGAGTCAAAGTTGGCAAAATCGCTGAGGCATCAAAATTCGCGAGAGCATAATTTCGACAATTTTCCATCAAATTTTGTACTTTTTGTTTTATTACCTTTAGAAAAAGATTCTCTACCATTTCATAAGAAAAAATAACATTTTTTTTTTTTTTTTAAATTCTTGGACCCTAGCTGTCACTTTGAGATTTAGCCCCTGGACCCTCAAAGGGTTAAAGTGCAGGCATTGTACTTCCCACCTCCAGGACTCAAGTCCAGCTAACCAGTTTTCCTGAATCCCTTCACAAAATATTACCCTGCTCACACTCCAACAGCTTGTCAGGTCCCAAAAACCATTTGTCTCCATTCACTCCTTTCTAACATGCTCACATTTGCTTGCTGGAAGTCAAGCCCCTCATCCACAAAACCTCCTTTACACCCTCCCTCCAACCTTACCTAGGTTGACCACTACCCCCATCTTCCTGCCCCTACAGAATTATACATTCTCCAAGTCATTCTACTTTGTTCCATCCTCTCTAAATGACCAAACCACCTCAACAACCCTTCTTCAGTCCTCTAATACTTTTAGTAACTGCACACCTCCTCCTAATTTCTACATCACAAATTCTCTGCATAATGTTTACACCACACATTGCCTTTAGACATGACATCTCCACTGCCTCCAGCCTCCTCCTTGCTCCAGCATTTACAATCCAAGCTTCACAACCATATAAGAGTGTTGGTACCACTATACTCTCGTACATTCCCTTCTTTGCCTCAATGGATAATGCTTTTTGTCTCCACAGATGCCTCAAAGAACTGCTCACTTTTTTTCCATCATTAATTCTATGGCTAACCTCATCCTTCATAAACCCATCTGCTGACACCTCAACTCCCAAATATCTGAACACATTCACTTCTTCCATACTCCCTCCCTCCAATGTGATATCCAATTTTTCTTTATCTAAATTGTTGATACCCTCATCACTTCACTCTTATCTATGTCACTTTCACACCCAAACTCGTCCACTAACCTTTGCAACTTTTCTTCAGAATCTCCCAAAAGCATAGTATCATCAGCAAAAAGTAACTGTGTTAAGTCCTATTTTGTATCTGATTGCCCATAATTTAATCCCACCTCTCTCCCCAACACTCTAGCATTTACTTGTTTTACAACCCCATCAATAAATATGTTAAACAACCATGGTGACATTACACATCCCTGTCTAAGACCTACTTTTACCAGGAAGTAGTCTCCCTCTCTTCTACACACCCTAACATGAGCCTCACTATCCTCATAAAAACTCTTGATAGCATTTATTAACTTACTACCTATTCCACATGCATGTACTTGCAACATCTGCCACATTGCTTCCCTATCCACTCTATCATATGCCTTTTCTAAATCCATAAATGCAATGAAAACTTCTCTACTTTTATGTAAATACTGTTCACATATATGCTTCATTGTAAACACTTGATCTGCACATCCTCTACCCATTCTAAAGCCTCCTTGTTCACCTGCAATCCTGCTCTGTCTTACCTCTAATTTTTTCAATAATAGCCCTACTATACACTTTACCTGGTATACTCAGTAACCTTATTCCCCTATAGTTTTTGCAATCTCTTTTGTCCCCCTTCCCTTTATATACAGGAATTATACATGCCCTCTGCCAATCCCTAGGTACCTTCCCCTCTTTTATACATTTATTGAACAAAAATACCAACCACTCCAACACTGTATGTTCCCTGCTTTTAACATTTCTGTCATGATCCTGTCAGTTCTAGCTGCATTACCCCCTTTATTCTACAGTGGACCCCCGGTTAACGATATTTTTTCACTCCAGAAGTATGTTCAGGTGCCAGTACTGACCGAATTTGTTCCCATAAGAAATATTGTGAAGTAGATTAGTCCATTTCAGACCCCCAAACATACACGTACAAACGCACTTACATAAATACACTTACATAATTGGTCGCATTCGGAGGTAATCGTTATGCGGGGGTACACTGTACATAATGCCTAATGCACCTTCCCCATACTCACATCTAGCTCTTCCTCATTCCTAAAAGATGTTATACCTCCCTGGCCAGTGCATGAAATTACTGCCTCCCTTTCTTCAATATACAGCGGCGGGAAGTTGACCCAAAATGACCGGGTGGCGGCAACATCGGTGACTTCCGCAAAATCCCATTTTTTATTTTACGTTTTTTACAATTTTTTCTTTTCTTTTCTAATTTTTTTCTTATGCTAATAACATTTGTGGCCTGTGAGACCAGTATAATGTATATTGTATAAGTGTACACTCATTGTATTCAACACAATAACTGCACTAATTTGTTTATCATTATATTGCTTACAAAACTTGTTTACAAGTTCATTGTAAACAAAATGATGAAAATATTAGTGTGGATATTGTGTTGAATACAATGGTACCATATAGTACCATATGGTACAATAGTGCCATAGGGTGCAATGGTACCATATGGTACAATGGCACCATATGATAATAGTACCATATGGTACAATATGGTAAAATGGCACATGATACAATGGTACCATATGATACAATGGTACCATATGGTACAATGGCACCATTTGGTACAATGGTACCATATGATACAATGGTACCATATGGTGCAATGGTACCTCATGGCACCATTTGGTGCAATGGTACCTTATGGTACCATATGGTGTAATGGTACCATATGGTACCATATGATGCAATGGTACCATATGTTACATTGTACCATACAGTACAATGATACCATATGGTTCACTGTACTGTATGGTACTATATGGTACTGTTGTATTCAACACAATAAACACTAATATTTTCATTATTATTTTGTTTACAATAGTTGTTTACAACAAAAATATGCAAAAATGTTGTATATTTGTAATGTTCTATTATATATTTACAAGTGTACAGGAACCTGACGTGTTCCTTGAGGTGGATGACAAAGCACTTGGTCTCGGAAACTGCGGAGTCAGTAGCTAGCTTGTGTCTCCACTCACTCAGTCTTGGCTGGTGTCTCATGCCACCAACACCTATTGACCATATGGTACATGCTATCATATGTTACAGGGTACCATATGGAACATTGTACCATATGGTATAGGGTACCATGCAGTACAGGATAAGATATGGTGCAGGGTATCATATGATACAGGGTACCATATGGTACAGGGTACCATATGGTACAGGGTACCATATGGTACAGGGTACCATACAGTACAGGACACCATATGGTACAGATACAGGGATAACTATGGAAATAAGTCACCCTGACTTTTTTGGGTTATCCTAGGATTTTATACGTATGCTGCTATGTATGATAATCTATGTAATTGTATTTCTGTACACCTGAATAAACTTACTCAAGTGCATGTGGCATCATAAGTAAGTTTAGTTATACACAAATAAAGTT